ATTTACCCTCCCACCCCTCCTGCCCCCACATGTTTTGTAAAATCCATCACTTTATACTAAGAAATATGTGGAACAAAGCAGACTTCACAAGAACTGCTATGTCCCGACTAACAGGAGTAGTAAATGTAAATCATACATTAGGCCAACATTATCATTGAGTTTATGGCTTATCTGACCTCCTGGCCTTTCTTCCTCCTCTTCCTCCTACTGTCCCCACTGTCTAATTTTGGGATCTCTCCTCACTGTCCAAAATAAACAGAGAACATGTTAAGTAGGCTAGGGGGAGAGATTACATGAACTTCAACTCAGCACTGATGAGTTAGAAGATCCAAGATAGCCTACAAACTATTAGGGCTAAAGTGAAAGTTGAACAAATGCTGCTAAATGTAAAATCAACATTTGAACATTAATAACATCCCCAAACACCACCGATCACATTAAAATGCATAAAAAATAAAAGCAGTTACAATAGTTACAAAAATTACAGAGACCCTTTTAAAAAGCTAACGAAATGTGACTCCTTTACTGAAAATTCCCAAATATTGTTGAAGGACATAAAGGAGCCCTGAATAAATAGAAAGGTGTGCCATGCTGAATACTCATTCAATAAATATTTATGAAGCACCTAGAGCTGAGGACACAGAAGTGAACAAAACAGACAAAAATACCTGCCCTCACAAAGCTAACACAATGACGTGAATTATAGCTTAATCTACTTACTGACTGTGATCCTGATCAAAATCTCAACAGGATTTTTTAAACTAGATGAACTGACTCCAAAATCCACAAAGAAAAATCAGTGTCAAAACCCAGGAAAGTTCTGGGGGAAATTTACATGGAAACAGTGCCTGCGTTACCAGATATGAGGCTTGTTGCACCAACGCAGAGATAGAAAAATAAGATCAGCAGGAAAGAACTGAGCCCCCAAACAGACCCGAGTGGTAATGGCGAGTTAAAATATAAAAACGATGGCTCTGAAAATCACTGGGAAAGGCTGCACAACTCTCGGAATAGTGGGACAGCCGGCTATCAACATGGAGAGTAACATGTAGATCCCCACACTTCACAGAAATATAAAAATAACTTACAGGTGGGTTAAAGACCTAAAATGTTAAAGTACACACACACTTCTACAAAAGTAAAAGTATTTAAACAAATATCTGTATGACCTTGTGTCAGAAAACAATTTCTCAGACACAATACAAAAAGCACAATTTGTAAGAAATGTTTAGTACCTCAAATTTCAAAACTTCTATTCTATAAAATAATTCATAAACAAAGCAAAAAATTGCTCAGCTGGCATGGCTCAGTGGCTGAGCATCGAGCTATGAACCAGGAGGTCGAGGTTTGATTCCCAGTTGAGGTACATGCCCAGGCTGTGGGCTCGGTCCCCAGTGTGGGGTGTGCAGGAGGCAGCCGATCAATGATTCTCTCTCATCATTGGCGTTTCTGTTTCTCTCTCCCTCTCCCCTCCTCTCTGAAATCAATAAAAATATATTTTTAAAAAAAAAACAAAGCAAAAACTTTTTATATCTAGAATGTGGAAAAAAAGCTAAATAAAACTTTTAAGAAAAAGGGTAAGCCCATAGAGAAACAGATCAAAAATATAAACAGGCAACTCAGAGAAGAGAAAACCAGAATGGCTAATAAACATAGAAAGATCTTCATCTCTCACAGAAGGAAATGCCAAATATTTAGATGTTACTTCGCAACCATTAGATTAACAAAAGGAAAAGTCTGACCAAGCATGAGGCTATGGAAAGCCAGGAGTTCACTTAAGGCAGGAGCATAAATTGGTACAACCAACCTGGGGAAGAACCTGTAAATATCTAGTAAAAGCAAGGAGAAGCACAGCCACAAGCCAGCATTATCGCTTCCACATAGATTTCCTTA